AAAAGTCACAAAAATATATATAGCCACCAAGAACTATGGTTCCTGAAAAATACTAATAGCCAGATAGTATTATATAAAATGTGAAGTGTATTTAAACATCGTATACATTAAAAAACAAAACCAAAACCAAAAAACAATTCTGTTTAGTCAAGAAACATGCCAAGTAATCTAGCTGTGGCCAGCATCAACAAGAGAAGCTGTGCTGTGGATGAGATGACGACTGGATATACGGCTGGTGACCGGAGACTGGCACAGTTAAGGGGGTTTCACTGTTACTAAAATGCACAAAGAAGCCCAACAATAATTTAATTCACATTTTTTTTTCCCCTCCAGCTTACTCTTCTCCCTCTTCGGGGTTTCACCATAGGGCAGCACCTAGAGTGAAGGCACTGCAGGAACAGGGCAAGGAAGCTGTCCAAGAACTTGGTGTAGCCAGGGCTGTAAGTCAGAATATCAAAAGCATGCATCAGCTAAACAAATGGTGAAACAAAACCGCTCCTCTGGGGACTTCAGCAACCCTCGGGAAGACTGCAGGTACAGTTGCCACACAGGCTGGCAGCACCACAAACTCATTCAGCTTTTTAAGTGCAACCAGATTTGGAGTTGAGACCTGTGAGACACCGAATTACTGTGCTAGCACACACGGAGTTAGCAAAAACCCAGAGCAGTAAGTACTGTTGCATTAAAAAAAAACCCCAAAAGGAAATCACGTTTGGTTTTTTTATGGTACATTTCCTCACGTACTTTGAACCGACGCTGTTTCCCAGGGACCTCTGATGTGGCTGAGGCACCGTCCGGCCTTGAACCCTCTTATCTGCCATCGAGATGCTATGGAATTTATTATGTCCATAACTGGAGATGAGAACCCTCCAAAACCGGGTTTCACCTTGTAAGCAAAACTCGAACTGAATCGATCTGAATGAAAATTAGCTATTTTCCATACTCTGATGGTGTGGAAGTTGCAACGGAGGTAGGAGCAACAGGTGCTCCCGCATCTGCATTTTCTCCATCCCTGCAGGGTGCACAAAGCTCCCGTTCTATTTGCATATAAAATGCTTCATGGTTGTCTCAGAGAGAGACCTGCAGTAGTCTCAGTGCTCTTACGCCCCGGGGCTGGGGGGGAAAGCCAGCAACCAAGAAGCGACTGAAGCCCTCGTATAAAAACTTTAAACCATAGCTTAAAAACAATAAAATTTCATCCCGCAAGGGACATATAGGGATCATAGTCTTATAAAATATATTTTACTGCATTGGCAGCTATTACTTTTCAAAAAGTTTAAATTCACACCTTTTAGACTCAAGATACATGTGAACCCAGAACCATTTTCAATAACCTAGTCTACTAATCTCTCAGTATGAGAGACTTGACCATAGTACCTGCGAGCCTGACAACTGAACTCAAACTGTAAAGACAGACAAATCATCAGGAACACACATCCCTCTCCATGCGGGGGAAGAAGAGTGACAAGCAGTTCTGACGGGGAGCTTAATTTCCTAACCGCGTAGGCATCCCCATGGATTTCCAGGGGAGCTGTGCTATGTGTCTTCATCAAAACCCAAAACAAACCCTTACAACTCGGCCAAATCTCCCGCACAGCTAAAGCATCGCTTCTTTTTCTTCCGCTCTTTGCAGGCACATAGAAAGCTTCCCAATTTTTTTCCCCTCTCCCAAAGCACCACGTTAAATCAGGAAAAAACCTATCCCTTCCTTTCCCATTGTTCCCATCAGACATACTGCTCTGCAAAATACGCAAGGAATAAAGACCCTGCACAGACTCTGAGAATCCGGGTCCCCGGCATAGGGCAGAACCTTGCTAGTTCTGTGGTAGTGAAGGCACTCTGCTTGCAAAATAAATGGGGGAGGAAAGGATTTTTCCACTGAGTGCAAAAATTGGTGCCACATGGGAGAAGGCTATGGAAAAGCAAGACATAAATCACTTTGGGAAGGAATCTGGAGACTACTCATCGGCAGAGAAACTGCTGCAGTGGGTCATACGCGTAGCGAGTTGGAAGAAATTCTAAGTCCAGTAAGGGCCCATATAGGCTGAGTGACCAGCCTGGTTGGTCTGAAGAAGGCTCGGGGGGATCTTACCAACATGTAAAACTAGCGGATAAAAGGGGGCAAAGGAGATGGAGTCAGGCCTTTCTCAGTGGCCACAAACCCAAACACAAGAAATCCCCAGCTAAACAGACTAAACCCTTTTTTACGGTGGGGGTGGTCAAACGCTGGAACAGGTTCCCCAGAGAAGCTGGGGACTCTCCACCTTTGCAGACATTCAAAATCTGACTGAACTAGATCACCTCCACAGTCCCTTCCAGCCTCAGCGGCTCTGTGATCCCTGTCAAGCAGCAATATAAATGCATACCAAATAATGGCATTTTTGGGGAGAGAAAAGAAGTATAAAAAGAAGAAAAAAAAAACCCACAACACAGCCCAGAGTTCAAAACACTCTGATAATGTATCGAAAGAAATTTGTGCTTTAGGTTTAATCCCAAGTGTAGTTTAAGGCAAGTTTCTTCCAGTTTAGTGAGATACCTATCTCGCTCGATTTGGAATCTAAGCATATTAGCAACAGAGATTGGTTTAAGATGTCCTGTGTTTTTCTCTCTCACCTATGAGGAACTCCAGCGTTTTAAAGAACTCAACACTTCCAACAAGCTAGGCAGGAGAAATAAAGCGCTACTGGTATTTAATCTGTGTTCTCTTCCATGGAGAAAAGAGATATTAACAGGAAACAATTACAAACAGGAAAATTAACAAGTAAACCCAACCCTAAAGCAAACAAACAAACAGAAACCTCCAAGAACTCCGCTGTTCCTGCAGTGGAATCAGACTGAAAAGGGAGAACTAAGTTAAGATGTTACGCAGAGATTGGAGGGTTGAACAGAAAATGCCTAACACAGGCACTGAACAATGAGAGCCATGGCCTGCCTCCTACCTAACGATGCTCATTTCCTTTCAAGGAAGAACAGATTAGCGCTATAAAGTCTTTTCAACTCTCCCCCTCACTCCCCGCTTCTCTTTGGTATTCAGAAAGCAGTTTGCCTTCTGACACAAAATTTTAAGTCTTAAAAATCCAACATCCTGCTGTGTCTGTGCTGCATTTGCACATCTCGGCGATAGACTGTTTAGCAAAATATCTAATGGGTGAAAATGATCAGATTCTAACGGAAGGTTATGTCCATCTGTATCTGATGATTACCACATCTGTACAGTCTGGACCTGACAAAGGATTCTCATACCCCTGCAAAGTGGAGTAACGCTTAGCAGAAAAAAAGGAAATTGCGTAGGTGAGTTCAGTGCCATAGCCCTGTAATTCAAGAGAGAACTCAGCAAAAGGCATTGTGTTGTCTCACTGGCTTCTCAGTTACAGAAATCACAAGTGGAAGAGAATTGGTCTTTTAAATTCAGCCCATCAACAGACACCGGACCAGTTCACAGTACAGCGTCCCAGAAAAAGAACAACTCCTTCAAGCCCTTTGAAGAAGACTCACCAAGGCAGACACACAAGACTGCCTTGTGGCAGAGAACTTCTTCGCAGCATGTTTCTAGAACACCCTTTGGATCGGGTGGAGAAACTTCATTCCAGTAACTTGGAAAGGACTTAAATCCCAACTGTTTTCACTCTCTTTAACTAAAATGTGTGGTTTTACCTAAACACAGCAGAGAAAGAACTGCTAAAGTCACTGAAACCCTTTAAGCTCTTTCCAAAGGGCAACCAACTTTTTTCTTACAAAAGTTGGCTATTCGTAGAAACAGCTCAGACCTACGGAGCTGCCAAAGCTAACGGAATACAAATTGATCTTGCAATATAATACGACTTCTGTTTCCTCAGGAGCAACCTTTCTCTACTGGTTTCATTTCCTCCTCATGTTTGCATGAAACAAATCCGGACAGAAAACAAGATTTTTTTAAAAAAAACCCCAAGATTCAAAACTGAGGGAGTATATCATGCCTTTGGAATACTAAGATCAAGTAATACCTACTCGCTCAGCATGTCGTCTGTAGGCAATAGGCATTTGGCATCAAACATTGAGTTAACTTGAGAAGCAGTAAGAAAAATCAACCTCCTAATGGATTTCCTAATTTAGGTTTCAAAGCAGTCCTATAGCCCCACCGGCCTCGACAACACAAGACTCGCTGCTCTGAAAATCCCACACTCTCAATTTGCAGCTTTTTGGTAAATATAAAAAAAAAAATTAAATTGCAAATCTTTCGATTTATTGCTAACTTGAGCTGTGGATGTAGCTGGAGTGATGGCCTTTAATAAACCGAGTTGGCAAGGATTTAAAATGTTTTGAAACAGGAACAATTCATCATTGCTATATAGGCTTTTCGTAAACAATCCCCTGTTGGGTTAAAAAGTTGGCCTCTAAAGAGAATAAATTGCTTATTTTGTCCAAAACAGACTAATAAAAATCTCAGAAACTATACATGCATATGTATAAATGAAAAAGAAAGGTGCAATAATGCACAAAAGGGCCCATTTTTTTCCCCTATCTGTAAACTCCCTCTCTTAAGCTTTTGGAGATTAGTAAAAATACAGTATACAGGACAGGGGGAAGTGCCCAGAACTGCAGCCTGGCCACAAGTGAAGAATTTCAGTTTGGGAAAACCTTCGTTTTCCTACGTGCCTCCCCTTCTACAGAAAGATACAGTCATGAGCTATTTGTCAGGCTTGCACGGATCTATACTTTCCTCTCTATCACCCTCAATTCATTATGCACCGTTAGACTTTTCCCGAACGCAGTGTTTCCATGCCTAACCTTAGACGGGCCAATCTGGACAGGCTGTTTGATCAAGCAGTTTCTAAAAGGACCGGAATATAAGAAGTAGGAATACCTGGCATGACATCACTTGGTTTGCCAAAACTGATTCATCTGAGATGAAAAGGGACAATGTGTTTTTAAAAAGCGTGTGACTGTTACTTTCAAAAATGCTTACCATTTCCAAGGAAAGGGTTACAGTAAGCGCTTTGAAAAACAGCAGGCACAGAGATAGGAAGTGTCATTTTTTTGTTTTATGCAGAAGATTAAAGCATCCGCTCAAAACCAGTCAAAACTGTTCAATAATGATTTCCAATGCATCCTTTTGTTTGTCGTTTTACAAAGGTTTCCTCTGGTTCCTTTCCGTTAACTGCAGAAGCAGTCTGCAGAAGCAAGGGAAACTTAACGAGCTGCTCTAACTGTGGAAGAAGAAATAGTTAAAGTGATCTGAATTGGTTGTTCTTCTTTAGAAGTGCATCACAGCTTCCACGATGTTCTGACAAGATCTTTTTGTGCATTCAGTCTTAAATATTTTTCACAGAAGTGATCGTTCAGTCATGAAAAATAATGTAACATCTGTTGCAGTTTTCTGTTTAAAGCGTAGCTTACAAAGTAAAAAGGGAAAATCTCCCCACTTTTGTTTAAAAAAATTAAATTAAAATGTACAGGACCAAACACAGGCACTTTCCAAAGAACAAAAATTAAACCAAACCATGAATTATTCAATAGTAATAGATGACAGCTCCGGTTTCGGAGGGTCAACTGCGGCTGCCTCAGCAGTGGCGTTAGTCTTTGGCTGCTCTGGCACATCTTCTTCCTTCTCTGCCAACCCACCCAGAGACCCCAAGGGGAAAGTGCTTTCACAATTCTGAGTTGACGACACCTGCGAAATGACAGGCATTTGGACAGAAGAGTTGCTTTCAAAGCCATGCTCCCCTAGCTCATACTGCCCGAGGGTCTCTTCTTGTTCCTGGTTTAAGTAGTCCGGTACTAGGAAGTCACTAGAAGAGGGGCAAAGGACAGAAGAGAAATGTCATTTCTCAGACAAACACGAGCGGTATCAGTTTCTTTGCATCAGTGACATCACACAAGCTACACAGTGCATTGCGCAGAGAACAAAGATATTCATTTCACATTGCTCTGAGATCATCCCAGCGACACACTTCGCTAAGCACTGCAACCTGCTGCTCATTTCAACACGCAGAGAAGTTATTCAAAGGCCCTCTGTTTCTCATTGGTTTGCATCCATCCTTCCTACACAGCAACTTCTCATTATTTAGATGGTATCACCTTGATGAGAAGGAAAATTAATGTCTGGAACATCACAGGGCACTGAAAACCTCGTTGCAAAAAGGGAGCACTCAACCTTTAAAAACGGGAAGAAAGAGGAGTTCAGCACTGGCAAAGATGCGGGCCTTTTCCACCACTGAGGGAAGACCCACGCAAGAAACAGCGGCAGCACCCCTCTCAGGGTGGAGAGGCTGCACACAGCAGCGGGAGGCGAGGGCTCTGCTGAAAGCCCAAGGAGGCTGCCAACCGCAGCGGCGTTTCGTGACGCCGACACGTGTCGCACCACTGCAAAAAGAACGGCATTCCATCCCCTTCCCGTTCCGGTCCTTCCTGGACCACAGGTCTGTAACTTGTTCTTACCAAGTGGCGGCTGAGAGTATCCAAAGAAAATCTACCACCCTCTCCAGCAGTATTTTCAGAGCATGAGCACATAGCGAAAATAAAATCGATTGGCAAATTTTCAGCACCAGACATGTAAGCTTGTATTTGACGCAAGTGTGTATATATACACATATATACAAAACATATATGCATTTCGTATGCTTTGTAACCGTCCATTTAAAGGCAGCCCTCTCCTTAAATGACAGCAGCATTCACTGCTTCAAATCCAAATTCACAATCAGCTACGCTAAACCCAGTGTCTGTAAATCCAAAGCGAGGGAAGGCCTACAGACACTGGAATCACGTATTTTAATCTGAGTTTAATTTGATGACAACAATGAAGTGCTTACCACAATCATTACATCATCCCTTAAGAGTTTCTGCTCTAGTTTTGGCACAAGTGCTAAGAACAAGAACTGCGTAAACCCACAGATATGAAGCACTTGTACTTTTAAACAATATTCTCTTGGAAAAACAGTGACTGGCTTTCTTGGTTTGTTGGGTAATTTTTTCATCCCACACCGCCTTTGAGAGAACCAAATAGAACAAAATGCTGAAATGTTTTGTAGGGGAAAAACCATAACGTATAGGAATCAGGAGGGATGGTATTGTAGGTGCTGTAACATTTACAATACACTCCTCTGGCCTTGCTGACGACAGATAACTTGACCCACCAAGCTGCACCCTCTCTACAGACTCAAGAGCTGCGAGATCTATCTTCCTCCGATTTCCCTCGTCCACTTTCGTGTTTTTCTATCTTAAATTCCAGCGGTTACAAACATTTATTTCCATATGAGAACATTGCTACTCTCATGCCTCAGCACCCTTTTAACAGTCTTTAGCGAAGCGCATTTGTGAGACACGCCAACTCTTTTGTGCCCCCGTAGGAAATGCCCAACTGGCCCTTACTATTTCAAACCCTGTTACTCTGATTGTTCAGTCATATGTTACCTAGAAAATGAAAAAAGAGAAGGTATGGAGTCATGCAAGCTTTCCACAATATCAAGCAAGTACTTAAAATGAAGTAGTGAGTCTATTCCCTGTGTGAGTGAGCAGGCTATGTACGAGATTTTGAAGACCAAATCATTTACAGAACTCCACAGAAGCTACAGCTTAACACCATTAGCCTGTCCGTAGATACTACTGGAAAGAGAAAAAAAGCAGCCCCGAAGCAGCTTCTGCATATCGCTCGATTCTTCAGTGCCCTCCTATATAGCTTCTATGCTGTAAGACAGATCAGATATAACAGAGAGTGGCGCAAGAATGAATTGGACTGGAATTAGCTGGCAACCTGATGAGAGGCACAGCAGGCTGCCCTGAAAGCAGGAAAAGATGATTTAGGAACAAAAAAATAATAAAAAAAAAAAGGCAAGTTTCCCTGTTAGGTTTTTGCTGTGCACCTCACCTGCTCTGGAAGTAGTTTGCTAGCTCTGACGCTTCATGGTTCAAGCTCCTCAGGTGAACGATTAAATTTCCAGAGTTGGTGAACATGGCGCCACATGTTTTGCACTCGTAAATCCGAGGCTTGCGGATAATATGCCGGGAAACCCGCATGTGGTGTTTATATTCCCCGAAGGAAGTGAAAGTGGCACTACATATCTGGCACCGGAAACAGCGTTTACCTTCGTGCTTCAGGCGATGCATCTTTAGCGAGTAAGCTCGGGTGAACTTTTTCCCACAGCGGTCACACTGAAATGGTTTAATGCCTGCGGAAGAGAGAGCAAAAAACCCGTAAGGTTCACCTTTTGTAATGAGGGGTCGCTGGCAAAATCCTTCCAGATTCCTAAGAGCAAAAGGAGAACAGCTGTGGCCAGTGCTGGTTTAGGAAGACATTCTCTGGTTAACTTTGGAATGGCAGAAACAATTCTCACCGAGGGACGTTTTCTCAGCCAACAGATTTCCTAAGAACGTGACCTGTCCGTAACGCTTACACGTCTTCTTCCCCGCAGCTTAAAATGAACGTAAGCCTCCGAGGATTATACTATGGTTATAATCCTGAGCCACAGCCAAAAAGTACCCGATGCAGCAGTCATCTTACAGGGTCTTTGAACTCCTTTGATCTCGGGGGATTCTTGTGCCAGACTGGTTCCCAACAATGCAATTATCAGACTACCCTTAATTGCGAGGTCTTTTTCTGGCTGCCTTGGGCCTCAGACAAGTGTTCTGGCAGGGGGACTGTGTGTACAAGGATGCCCCTATAATGCAGCAGGGATGGTGATAAAAGGGTGAAGTAGCAGCCTTTATATCGCGTGGGAACCTTTCTATACAGGAATCTTCAGCGACTTTGGTGACAGACAGCTCTCTAAGACAATTTAGGTTCATGCCTCTCATTTTTATCTTGTATTAATTTAGAAATTCTGGTACTATTTCATGTTTCATTTATTACAGGCAGTAAAAAACCCTAAAACATAGCAGCTCTCCAACATGTTGCAGTGGCCGAGAGTACATAATCACACCCAAACAGAACTATTGCAACATGAAATGTCTGCATCACCAAAAAAATTAAGATTTAATAAGAAGTCTGAACTCCAGAAAGTGCGGAAATCCAAACACGAGGCCAAGAACCTGAAATATGGAGCTCTATTCATAATAGGGCTGTCAAGGAATAAAAAAGGTTGTTTCTAAAGGCTGAATGTGCATCAGTCCAGGCTGTTAATTCCAGCAGTCTTTCACTCTGCTTTCCTTAGGTTCAAAGCGGGAGCTGAACTTTTAATTGGGGCTTTTATACAGAGAAAGCTGTAGTTAAGGTTACACTGGAACTCCTTGTTAAACATGTGAAAACAAGTTAATAGACTAGAATATTGTCTTGTGGAGCTAAAACTCTTCATGCTTTCCTACGGTCCATGGGCATCTATGTCCTCTGGTAGCTTAAGGAAAACCTCTTCAGTCATTTCACTCATGTGAACACACTTCCAACATTTAAGAGTTTTGAGGGTTTCTTTTGGATGCTAATTACCCTAAAGCAGCCACTCCAATCCCTCCGGACATTGCTCAGGGGCTGCCAGTTGTCACCTCAGCCAGACGCGTTGCTGAAGCCTGTCTGCTGTCCGTTAAGACTTCGGCAACCGGCTTGGGGTAATTTCCCACCCGATATGGACACAAAGTTGGCTTTTTAAGTATTAAACACATTATTACTGCTGGCCTAAACATAGGATGGTCGTTTTGCCTGAAAGCATTTCACAAATAATTGCTGCCAGTGAAAAAACTTACACCTTGGCAACTGTGGTTGCTCTGCTCAAAAATGGGACGGCATCTGTGAAGGTGAGAGTCGAGCTCAAACGAGGAGATGCTAAACCATGAGGCTTAGCGCTCCAGTGCAACAACCCTTCAACATTCCCTTCGTTCACTAAAATGTCAGTGCTACTGCCAGGTAAGGCTGACAAGTCTTGAAAAACACTGATAGCGAAGACATTCCGAGCTCATACTTAGGTTAGACATCAGAATGAATGCAACAGTTTGGGGATTGAGACTGAGAGGAGGCATTCACACAAACCTTTTGCTGCCTGTACTATCTGTAGTAGCTAAATTGATTATCAAACCAGCTCAGTTGTCCTGCAATCCCTGCAAAAATTCTGAGATCCAAAGGCATACAACATTCTTCAATGCAAGGACATAAGATAACACTTTCTTATGGCTGCAAGTCTCCTCTAAAACTCAGCAGACAATTACAACACACAGGAGGAAGAATTTCAACCTACATCACTTCTTTAGTGTAATACAAAAGCCAAGTATGCTTTAGTTCATCTCAGATCTTTATCATGAAAATTACTTATTCTGATGAGTTTCAGGCAATCAGACTTTTTTCAGTCCACACAAATGCTAATCATGTGTGAGTGAGCCGTCAGTCAGATTTGATGTATCAAAACAAGCATTCAGTGAGACATACCTCTACCCAATCTTTCCAAAATCAATTCTCGAGCTCTTGGCAGGTGATGAAAAAAGAACGGCGTTATTACATTTGCTGCACAGTGAGCAGTTCTCTAAGTCTGTACATCAGTAATTCTTGGAAGCAGCAGCATTTCTTACCTGAGTGGATAAGCATGTGTTGTTTTAGGTTCTGAATGCGAGTGAACCGGACCCCGCAGGTTGGACACTGAAAAGGTCTGTCAGGACCGTTTGGGCTGGGTCGCTCTGTGCTGCTGGTAGAAGGAGCAATGTAGAGTTGGTAGGGATACTGAACGTTCTCCAAACTACAAAGAAAAAATTCACTCATTTACAAGCAAGCTGGAGGACCAAAAAAAAAAAAAAAGAAGCAGCCTTGCTCATGGAAATCTGAACCTTGAACACGTTTGTATGAGAGGAAAAAGGCTGGCCGTTCGCATTTCTTTTGAGATCTATATGCTGGAAATCCCTGCCTCTACAGCAGTACATCAGACCTGCATCTTACATTCACTGGCTTTGCACAAGGGACTGAGACCAGAGAATAACCCCTGACTTCTGCTTCTTTGGGCAACAAGTCTGAGCCACCAGCTGCAAACTGAACTTCATTTTCCAGGCATGGGCATTTTCTCAAGGGTAGCGATGATTTACGGTCGGCAAACAGTCCCTGAGGAAGAATCTGAAGAACTGAGCAAACTGGAAAGCAAGGGAGTGTTTCGCAGCTCCAGTGATATTTACAAATGAAATTAAAGCAAATTCATTTTCATTTCAATCCAAGTTCCACGAACAAACATTAGTAGCTACAATTACCTATTTCTAAGTTTAAAACATTGATCTAATTAATCAATACTCGCTCCTTGCCTGATCCAATCGGCTCTGTGAGGATAGCTCAAGCGCTGTATTTAAAAAAAACAGCACGCAAACTATAATAAAGGAATAATTTAACTTTCAAAGTAATTTGTTTAAAACTGACTAATTGCTCCTGCATAGCCTCTAGCTGCAAACTGTTTAAGGGAACTGCAGTGTTATACAGAATCCAAGTCCTCTGGCAAGGAACCTGCTTCGCTAAAGGGCACAGTGAAATCAAAATAAATCTGCTGGTACAAACACAATGACAAGGGGAGTTTGCACTTACCTGGGTTTCCCCTTCCCTGAGCATTAAGGCCTGTATTTTTTATTGAAATAAGACATTTCAGCGTGCTCACAGCCTGATGGCAGATCAAACGTCACTGGCAGCAGGGAACTGCTGTGATCCTGAACACACCATAGCCAGAACAATTTTAATCTCACTAAACTGCAATGTCTGAAATGGATTGAGAAAAAAGTGCAGCCAAACCTCCGGTTGCACACAGTCAGAAACTCTCCTTAACTGAGCAAATCCTCTTGCTGGTGTGCTTCCCTCGAGCCCAGATTGCTGCTGGCAAGGCTGGACTGATTTTGTGGACTCCTAAGGCTCACAGCAACGTGCACTTGGCACAAATACGCATCACAAAAAAACCCACAGAGCAGGACAGCACAGGAGGTCAAGAACTAGGACCATCTCTTTAAAATCAGTGCCATAGCTGTCTTTATCTACTCTGGAAATGGATGTCAGCACAACTGTGAGAATGGGGTACCTGAATTCTAAGGACAACGATGGGTCTTGGTGGCAAAAGTTCCAGTTGTAAGATTTATGTGGAGAGAGACAGCATCAGGGATCTCTCCATATGCACGATACAAATTTCCTGCAGCAGTTTAGTATCAATCAGCCTGTGAGGCCAGTAAGAATCTCTGCTCTCGCATGGAACTGGAATAATATTTGCTCTAGGGAAGAGATTTTATTGTCCTTCACTTTTTTTTATACACAGTAGGGTTCCAGAAAGCTGGGGAAAAGACAGATGCTGACAGACTTGATCTTTGCTCAAAGGAATATTTGCAAGAGGGAAGTCACCAGCTACATCCTGGGCCCAGCAGAATGTAGCTCACTGCCACTAAGGCGTCTAAAAAAGCCAACTGCTGGCTCACCAAATGCACTTCCAGTAAATGAAGGTAATTTTAAACACAGGTTCTGATTTGTCTAACCAAATTTCAGATAAACTCTGGCACTCCCTTTCCTCTCTGTGAGCAGATCTCTAGATAAAGAACAGACTTTACTCCTCTCAGATGTGGAAACACCAGTGTTGTCTCTGGAGTTGGTATGATCATACGCTTTCCAAATACCAATTAAAACTCCATCAACACAGACTAACAGTCAGGTCTGTTATCCAAAAATACCCCCAAAACCTAAAAACCCCAGAACAACAGTGCAAAAAAAGCATGAGGCACAGCACTCCAGCAGCCGATCTGGGCCCAGGATGGACAACTTGCCCTTCATCCGGTTGACAAATGTCACGCAGCCTGGCTAAGGGGCAAATCCCTTTGGAAAAGGTTTCCTGGCGCTCAGCTGACTGGAGAGCTCACAATTAAAATTTTCACAGCTCTGTGCCAAGAGAAGTGACAGCTGCAGCGCAGGGCGATGAGGGATGACTGCCTGGGCAGGAAGAACTCCTGCTCTTGGATGCACACACATGTGGTGTGCTCAACTAAGAATTAGGTTTTGGTTTTTTGTGACAACAGTTAACTTGCGTTCTAGAGAACTTCACCTTCTGGGAACATGTTTCTCAGGTCCTTCCTTCCTCATTTCTGTGTTAGGGGACAGCAAAGAGGCAAAAGTGCATTGTGCTCCTAGAGCTTCCTAGGGAGACACTCAAACTAGGGCAGAAATGAGGAAGCACAGCCCTCCTTTTGTTTCCAGCTTTCTCAGGCTAGCTCATCCTCAAAGCCGGTACTGCTGCCAGCTTCTCTGCAATTGAAACAGAAAGGAGAAGTGCTGTGGGGACAACCTCCATGGAAGAAATTTAAAGTTTGGGTTTTGTCCTACATAAAAGCTTCATGATGAGAAAGGCTGGTTAAAGTAGATAAAATGGGAATCCACATCAGGCTCTGCGGCTACCAGTGACTGGCATGTCTTGTTCCATCCTTGCACTGCAAGCAGGCTGAAATGCCTAGTGCTGATGTTACTGTGGACCTTAGCACAACGAAGAAATTACATCTGAAACACAACCATAATTTTTCTCCCCTGCCTGTTTATTCCCATCTATACACAATTTTTCATGACTTGCAATTTGTGATAAATGTGGCAGTTAACAGTTGAGATTTGTCTGACATCTCAGAGAATTTCTGTAACAACTAAAGATAGGTTTAAAATGTTTTCACTCTAAGATTCTCCTTGCGATTTTTTCTTCTTTTCACCAAGAGATTATACACATATTTAACTACGTAGAACTAAACTCTGACAAATGTGAATGCCAGAATGCTCAGTGAGCCTAGAAATGTTCTCTATTTGTAAATAACAATTATTTTAGAAAAGTGGAGGCTCTCATTAAACTGGATCAGAGAGATCTTTTATAACTGAGCCTTTGCAACTCCTTAAATGCAGGCACAAAAGGATACAGAGACTACCTGTTAAACCAGCCAGGGTTGAACTACAAATCTACGTTAGAAAAGCGTATCGCAATCCCAGTGTGAAATATCAGAGAAAGCATACATCAGACTTCACTGGGAAACGGTCATTTTAATACTGAAGAGATTCCTGTGTGCCTACTAGGCTGACAACAATTACATGTGACCTGCTGTTTATGAAACACTGACTACGGAGGAGGATGAATTAATTATGTTAATTATTTAACACAGAAACTCAAGAGATAAGGTATCCTGAGTTTTGAAATATTTATGATTCTTTCCACAGTGATAAGGATGTTGTATTGAAAGACCTTTAGAAGCAGAAGTCTTTTGCTCTGTTAATAAATACATACTTGGATAGATATTTTTTGAGATAAATTTGCATTGCCCATTCGCAGCTGCTATTGACATTTTGAGAATCTCCACTACCAAAGCAATCCACAACCTGGACTTCAACTAAAGGTGCATTCAAACCAACACTGAACAAAAAGCAAAGCAAATTTTCATCATCCATATGGTTTGTTAATCGTGTTTTCATTTGATTCAGCTGGAGCCAAATGTTTGATTTTGGTCAGAATTCTGTATTATCTCATCTTATGGACCCAAAAATGTGTGCCCAGATTGCTGCACAGTGGGCAACAGGCCATATTTACGTGTGCCATGTAACAGAAAACTTCTTAGGACTTGAAAGCACCCGTTTACACATTTAATGGATTCACAGAATAAACAGTCTTGGCACCTTCATTTGACTTTAGGAAATCATAGAATCATGGAATGGTTCGGGTTGGAAGGGACCTTAAAAATCATCTACTTCCAACCCCCCTGCCATGGGCAGGGACACCTTCCACTAGACCAGGTTGCTCAAAGCCTTGTAATAAATCACTAGGTAGAAAATTTTAATTTTGGAGTCTAAAATTCTCACAAATTCCCATAACTCCTGATGCTCTGAGACTAATTATTTTCAAACTTGGGCATAAACTAAGGGAAATATTCTTTCCTTCTCTGCACAGAAGAGATCTTTTAGTGGGAATTTTCAGTGTGTTAAAAGGATTTTATGCATTTCCAATTTTCTATGAAGTTTGTGCTGAAGCCCTGCAATTTTACAGGAAATTTCTGAAATAATCCACTACTGAACATATATATGCCACTTGACTTGAGAACTGCAGTTTAAAAACCTGGATTAGTTCTAATGCAACATGTGCTCCTACTATCAATTCAAACCCTAAGTGCTGGGTATTATTTTTATACTGAGATTTTGAGCAGATAGAAAACATCTTCCGTGTCAGACAAAAGTCTTATCTCGGCAGTTATTTTCCCTTCAGATTTAATCCTACAATGGGACAGGTTTTAGAGGGAAATGGCAGGAAAGATTTCATGAGCTATGAAAATGCAGCTCTTGATAGTTATCTCCACAGGGAGTTTCACTTGACCCAGTTTCTGGAACAACTCCCGAAGGTTCACACTTCTTCCTCAGACCCACTTGTCTAACAAAACGCTACGCAAAAGCCAGCTTGTCAATACTTTACGAGTTTTGCTTAGAAAGGGAATAGCTCTATGCCATACTTGACACATACCACAAAAGCAAAGGAATCAAAGCCAAACCGGTTGTGCGTACCCTCGTGTACCACTTGCAGGTACATCACTCCAATAGATCTACGATACATCTTCAACCAAACAGACCCAGTTTAGTTCTGCCTTCTCTGCCAGCCTTCCCTTATAAGGGATTCCCTTAATAAGTCCCTCATCCTAGCGCAGCAAAAGACCGTTAAATATTTACAGTAAGTGACACACAGCATCTTGGTAAGGAGCTACACGCAGAACGTTGGGGAGACAAGATTTAAGGCTGCTGCGTGGTTTATGGCAAGAGCAATGTCTGGTGAAGCCAAGACTCGGCGCTTTTTCATTTTGCTGCTTTTGTGGCTTTCTGTCAGCTTCAGCACGTGTGCAACTACCACACCTGTTTCACAGTAAAGGTTCCTTTATTATTAATTAATAAAGAGCAGTGATGAAGAAACAGCCAAACCACAAATATATTTCTTCCCCAGTGTTGCCTGGAAATAGACAGGAAAGGAAAAGCAACAAGGAAGCAAATTCTGACTTTCATCACCTACATTCTTCTAAAGCATCTGATCCTTCAGGCACTGATTGTACTTTGATCAACACAGAGAAGTAGATGTACGAACAACTAAACATTCTGGGATTAAGGCTGGGTAGGTTAATTACAGCACTTGCTGCAGAACAGTTTGCACACTACGTTGGTACATACCGATCATCATCATCTGCATGAGCGTTAGTGCCAGAGGTACTTTGGAGTGTGGGTAATCCCTCCGTAACCCCCTCATCTATTGAGCCTAGGCAAAGAAAAAAGGGCAATTTAATGCAAATAAGTGTTCAGAAAGGGGTGGGGGGGGCAGGTACATACACATAAAGCTTGCTTTCCCAAATCTCTGAGAGACACTGCTTCCTGGGTGGTAAGATACTCAAACTGTATCATTGGGAAAATCATTTACAAAACCCTGAAGCAACGTGTTCCAGCTCAACTTCTCCTCCGCACAGATTATCTAGTAAATAGACAACTCAATAAAGGGCAGATATTTGGCACACCTAGAAAACGGAAAGAATCTATGTTAAGCACAGCCAGAGTTTTCAAAACACATCCAGTACTAACACTGTAAAGCAGAAATGTTACCTTCACCTAAAGGGACTATTTCATCAGTTTTCAAGACTTCTTTAGTAATAAGGAGTTCAATCCTCCTACACTACGTTGCATTTGTGTTCCAAACCTTCCACACAGACACGTATTTGTTGACAATGCCTTCATTTATGGATAAGATGCTGAGGTGGGAAGAGCCCACTGTGAAATCAGAAATGCAACACAGAAGAGACCAAACAGCTGTTTGTAAGAGAAACGTACATACAAAACCATTCCACAGCTTGGTTCCGTGCACTGACAAGCAGACGTAGCTCAAGTGGGTTTTGGAAACAGAATCTAAGGTAAACACAGCACTAAAGCAAAACTGCAGCTTTGTTCACCTGATGGGTCTGCCTCATCACCGCTTGGAGTCTGGCATTCGATCCTTGTCCAGGCATATTATTCAAGGTTATTTTGGGTGATGTCACCGTGTCAGAGAGAATTTGGCTGTACAGTGCTAAAACGACTTGAAGAACTGGTACCCACCCCCCGCCAACCATAGCCCTTGATACAAAACATCCTCTGGTTTGGTTATGTGTGACCACTTGGATAAACCACGTTTTGCTCCCTCTTTAAGCCGAGTGAAAGGAGCAGCCTATCACCTCCCATTCCTCCTTCTCCTCTGGTGACGCCTACGGGAGGTGACAAAAATGAATGACCCAACGCCATATTTCCAAAGGATCAGAATTGCTGTTGTCCCTCTCCACAACAGGGGCTCCCAAATCACAACATACATATGCTAAGTAGCATGAAAGTCACTTGGAAGTGTGGGGGCTCCCAAATCATGACATACATATGATGAGTAGCATGAAAGTCACTTGGAAGTGGTAATTCCGTCCTGCCTCCTTTTTCCTCTGCTGAGACTGAATCCTTAGCACTGCTTCAACTCTCCTCAACAGCCAAGCAGCCTTTGGGTCTCTAACACTGAATCCATGTGGGATGAAAACAGATGGGGAAAGGCAATTTCCCTCTCTACACCTACATCCTGAGAACAAGTGAAATCAAGTGTCAATAGGTCTACAAGGACAAGGGTCAGACAAAATGGAAAACCAAAGAGAAGGAAGACATGCAAAGTGAAGCAGAAAATGGGCACATTTTGTCAAAAAGAATGAGAGTACTGTCTCAAAAAAAGGCTGTCCCTGTAAAAGACAGTGTGTTCCATAAAACCTCACCGACGTGAAAAATGATAGTCTTAACGTGATCCCATGTTACGGAGCCAGCGATGGAAGGAAACCTGCACCTCCATCAGTTTCAGAATAACCCTAGCAGAATCAAAATTTTGAGTTTTGCTACGAGCTGACAAACTATGTTTGGGAAATTCAGCAACCGTGCAATCTGTAAAGTTACAGAAGTTAATCCTGTTTCGATTTATCCTTCTTTTTCGTGAAATACTTAACCGAATGTCTACTGCAAAATAAGCCCAATTACTCTTAGGTTGAATTTTATGCCTTCACTTCTCAAATGGGAACAATGTTAATGAGTTATGAAAATATCTTCTGAGACATAGCTATTGTTGTAACCATAATGACTTATTTATCAAGGCCCCGCGTCACGTCTCCTTCCGTATTATAAAGTGCTTCCAAATATAATAAATCGCAAATGAACAATTCTTGAAATTGCCCAAAGAGTGAATAAGAGCTTTTTGCAATATCAGAAAGAGAGGCAGGGATGCTTTTTCATATAAAACACTGAGATAAATATATGCAATTATACGAGGAAAATAAGCTCAGGGAAGAGAAAGCTGTATTTTAACGTATCTTGCTGCTTCCATTTACTGTTCTTGTATTACTGCATAAGGAAATACAACTTTGGGAGGTAAAAAGTGCTTTCTAGCTACAAAGCGTGCCTTATCATATATTAGGTACATGTGAACTGTGCTAAAAAGCAAGAGCACTGTTTCTCTTTATAGCAAAACCTGAATAAAATCTATTCTGAGGGTAGTTAACGATGTTATGCAAAGACCACTAAATATTAATGCAAACATATTCAAAGACAAAGAACAGATCTGTACTTTGAAGACTGGCCTAGCACACTGTTCTTCTCTCTGTAGCTGTTTTAAGGAAGAACATGCTGTACTAACACCCTCAATAACAGACGTTTAAGTTTAAACATGATAATCCCTGAAGCCCACGATCCTCTGCCCCATGCCGTACAAACGGTCAGGTACGTGAACTCCGCAATACAAAACCTGGAATAGGAAATAGAAAACTTCCCCACAAACGCCATGTCGCTTCGATACAGACACCTTCTGAAGACCGGACGTGCCAAGTTGCTTGGCCACAGAAATGGTTTCAGGAAACTGGCTGAAGCAAGGACAGAATTCAGTGAGGTGCCTGGCTACCGGAGTATGTTCCAAAGCCAGTTCAACACTACGACTCTCTGAGAATCGGAGACTTTACAGCATTCAGTGGCACCCCTCTCTAAATTCAATCCTAGTCTCACATTCTCATGTCCCAGTTCATTCAAGCCAATTCTGAGTATGCAATTATTCTGATACTTCTAACTCCAAGAGATATCCTCCCAAAAATTCCGTAGCTCGTACGCTACTCACCTGTAATCTAGAGCTCACACCAGGTTTGTTCTTTCAAGCTGCGTGGGTATCGTATTTATAGTGGGTAAACTGCCCTCCTTTCACTCGATATGCTGGTTTTAGCTCTCCCTAATCATTATTTCGACTTGTTCTATTTTGTCTCTGACAGTACAATTATGTTGATGAAATAAGATGTATCTCTTAGCACACGGCCCTGGCAAGGCCATTCCGAAGTTCCCACTATAACGAGTTAAAAACTGAGTCAAACTAAACCTGCTCTTGAACGAGGACCACTTTTCCTGGAGACTACCCAGCTAATAAATTGTTTCTTTTAGTTTTGAATGCATGCGCTACTTTGGCAAACCACACTTAAAAGATTTATATTTAAACTGATATTAAGTCTGCTTCTCAGAAAAGGTAAACAGCCTCGTTTCCAGTAAATAAAACATTTTCGTTTGGAAAAAGCATTACTGATGTAAAATATCAACACACGAGCTATTCAAACTGATGAATAAATACAACAACGTAACGTCTTGAAGGATGAGGTAAACAGAAAATATCTTAATTTCTTTTTAGCGAGTATTACCTGAACGGTTTAGCCACACTGATTATATACTGCAGTCCTGGAATGGTCAGATCTAGCACTCGCTTTCTTCAGAGAAGGCCCGGTGTTAGACTGACCAAACACAATAAATAAGGCAGGCTACAAGGCTACATTTATTTACTTTATTGTAGTGTATTTATTTAATTAACTGCAGCAGCCTTTCATGTATACATTATTCGAATGAAGCAGACCAGTACATTTGCCATTCTTCAAACAAAACAGGCTTTATTAAAAATCTTTCAGTAAACAAACTCTACCAAGCACAGGTCAAGCCACTTAACCAAGAGCAAAATAGCTGATTTAGGCAAAATTTGGGTAATTAAACTAGAAATATTGCAAAACTTGTATCTTCTGACTTACTAAAGGCCATTCAACACACTCTGCAGAGGAAAAAAGGGACTGTTACAGTAACCTTTAAGTATTAGCTATTCATAAGCAACAGCCTGCTAGAAGATCCCAAAACTGCTTCAAATTGTCTTTCATGGAAAAAAGGTTTCTCTCAGCAATTGGCAGTGTTCGAAGAAGCAACTTGAGAACCAAATCCCACAGAAATGGAAAGATTCTCAATATTATGACTGTGTGGTTTTGTTTTTGTCTGGGGCACTAAGATGACAGCGTTCCACCACTTATTTTGCAAATCTTCTCACAAAGGCTCTCTGTCATGATTATACAAGATTTTATGGCTGATGCAAAGTACCACTCTCTCCCTCTGCGGCTACAGCCACAAGCCTCCCAGATTTGGTGCTGTAGCTCAGCTGAGATCATGCCTTTTGACACTAATGAAAACAGAATTATTTTCCCCAGTCAAGCAACTAGAGGTAAAAAAAAAAGGGTTATGGATCTCTACTGAAAAAGGAGGTCTACCAACAGGCTTACCTTTCTTAGCTGCCTCCTGCAAAGTTATTTAAAGAGCTCCAAGTCCCGTCCCATCATGGGGGTTTATATGTAATGTTTCACAAAACAGAAAAAAAAAAAAAAGGCAGTTTCACAAAAGTAAAGCACGAAAAAACACGAAGCAGATTTCTTCCAATAAACTCCCAAGCGCGCACTTGTGCACACATCTAACCCCAGAAACCCTCATACCTATAGAGGAAGACTGCGGGCTGATCAGGAGATCTTCCTGCACTTGCTCGCTTCCTGGGACTGTCTGTTGATCGCTCAGAGAGCTCTGGGATGCGCTAACAGGCTGCGATACCTCCTCGTGAACCTCCTCGTCGCTTAACCTTTCCACTTTGACGCGCACGTCTTCCTCAATCACAAGGGGAGAACTGGCTTTTGTGCTCTCACAAGTCACGTAATCTGCAATTCTTCGGTTGGACTCGGAGGGCCCAGGCATTTCCAAAGTCCTAGAGTTCTCCGCCTGCTTCACCTTCTCAGACTGAAGTCTTCGATCGATTCCAAAAGGAAAAGTCCAGGGAAAAGCTAAGGAGGAGTCCACTGGCTGATTTCTGGACTCCGGGTAAGAAGTGGAAGGATTCAGCACTTGGGGGGAACTTGTTTGCGTGTTACACTTGAGGGGGCTCTCGGGAGACATAACTATGTAGCTTTTGCGCTTCCGTCGCGACTCTCGGCAAACAGGGATGGTTCTTTCCACTACGCTGCACTCGGAAGAAACCGGAGAAAGGCTGCCGTCTCGAGAAGTAAAATTGCAGTTGGCGCTGTTCTCCTGCCCTGCATCCAGCACCTTCTCTTGCTGGCTGTTGGGTGTATTCCATAAAATGCTGGACTTCATGAATTCTGAGCACGTGCTAGCAACGCTGAACATCTGCATGTAGCTGGCAGCGGCCAACACGTCAATAATGTTTTCTGTGTTAATGGAGAGCGTTGCCGTGTAAGCGTATTCCAGAAGAGGTATAAACCCAGTCACTGTCACGTGGTGCAGGTCTAACACGCTCTTGCTCTCGTCTTCTGCTTGGCCGACGAGCTTGGAACGGAAGAAGTCGCTGCAGGCTGCCAAGACCACCTTGTGCGCCCGGAAGATTTTGTCCTGGACGCGGATGGTGATATCACAAAAATGCCCGTCGTTGCGGAGCATGTTCAGCTTTCCCAGCATCTCCTGACTGTGAGCAGGGGAATTATGAGTGAATGTTTTAACACCCATTTTTTCACCTTTCTGCTAGCGTTCTTGCCACATACGAGAGATCACAGGTATCCTAAAACAAAGAGGGAAATGGTCATTTTCATCTCAACGCCAAAGTGAAGGGGCTTCACGGTTATAAGACTTTGTATGATCAGCAGGATTCTCTAGGGTCAGGATTTTCTAGGATACAGACTGTGCAATGGACTAACTCTACAGAAATGCAATTACCTGCTTGTAATTTAAAGCAACAAAAAAAAAAATTCAAATTATGAGATCTATCGCTAACATCATCTTCCACATTTCCGCTACTGCCCACTCAAAACAAATTCTGAACAGAATTTAGAGAAAAATGATGTCTGTAATAGTAAAAAGAAAGCACTTTTAAAACTGCCATTGTGTATGAAACCAGTATTTTTATTTTCTGGGCTCAGGAAACTATTGCTTAGGTTCTTAAACCTGACAGACTCTGTCAAATGTTTCTCCTAAGTGGAAAAGACATTAGCTTGGGTCCACTTAGAAGTGTGCAGGAGCAAGCAAATCTCCCAGAGAAGGTATTTAATACCCGAAAAGCTTCAGAGAAACTACGGCATGAATTTTCAGAGGAGAGAGTAAAAGATAGCACTTGCCAACAGCTCTACTTTCCTGCTGTAGTGCAGGTACTGATTGCCTAAAGCTGCTTTTAATAAATAAGCTTTGGACTAGGATGAGAAGTTATTGAAAATTCCTTCAAAAACACAATGGATTATAGACCTCAAAGGAAAGTTTAGCTTTAAATCAAACACGCACAAATTGGTTTTATATACATGATAAATCATACAAGGAGGGCAACTTCCTTCTTCTGAAAAACACAAAAACGCCTTCTTGGGGACCAGTTCTCTTCTACGTGAGGGAGCAAACGTTTTTTGTGGAAGGTCCTGGAGAAGCAGATGGGACTGTATGCCCCACTGTCTGCACGTTTTAAGGCCGCAGCAGTATCTGAAAACTAAATGCCTCTGATTTGGGGAGGATGAAGCTGAGCCACGATTCACTCTCTCTGCAATACACAGGGGAAAGACCCTGCGCTAAGCCAGGTGCAGTATTGGACAGCCTCTGCCCCTGCGGTGGAAATCCTGTGGCCACCAAGGCTGCCTCTACTCGCTGAGAACAGAGCATCTCTGAACAAGGAAAATCAGCTCCTGGGTTTTCTCCAATAATTTCCGAGTTATTTCACTGCAAAGAAAACATAAGCCACCATGTTTCACCTTCTTAAGCCCCCCCAAGCTTCCAGGAAAGGTCTTCTATGTTCCACATGACTCGCAATTAACATGACACAGAAATATCAATCTCAGTCAAGTCGGTGGTTAAACATCAAGAACATAATTGGATCGGATTGTTTCCTGGAGTCAGCCAGCTTCTTCACATCATACTTCCCCTTTCCCCTCCACGTACCTAAAAACATACCACGCTTGCAAACTGCTCGTGTGGAGCTTCACAGGTACAAAGAGCAAGTTTGGAACAACTTCTCACAAGCCTCAGCACACGTTTAAATGGCAGCTGCCAGAGCCTACCTTGTTCTACAGGCATTTACGCTTGGCTGCTTCTTATTCCTACATTACACTTCTGATACCGCAAACTCTTTCAGACCGAGGAAAAATTCGAGAGAACAGATTAACTAACACTTAACGCTATGTGTAAGTCAAGTCAAACTATAAGGGCCGTTTGGATATGAGATGAGATTTCACACTCCTGCAGAGGAAGAAGTTAAGCACAAGCAAAACACTCCCTTCAGTGAAAGAAAACATATTGACCTCAAGAGGCATCTGAAGATCCAGACTGTCTGTTCTCCGGCATGAATCAAATGAAAAGTCTATTTAACTGATCTCGGACCAAAAGACTACAGTAAAATCTTGTAACAGCATGTTCTAAAACGGCCTTGGGATACCCTTCCTTCTGAATTCTCAGTCGCTACGGCAATTCCTTGGCAGACCAGAAGTCCAGAAGTACTTCTGTTCAGTACGGGCTACAGAAAGAATAAGACATTTGCAAAGACTCTCAGTGTCTGGTATTCAGAAATAGCACCAATATAAACAAGGAGAAGAATCTAAGCAAGCAATACTCCCAATTCGTATACACCCAGAAGACTAATCCATCCTTCTTTGCTCCTCTGAATAAGTAATACCCATCCCTCCAGTTTCCAAGTGTGAGAGCTCTACTCTGCTATCCCACTTCGCACCGCTCCTTGTCCTGCTTCCCCCCTTCCCACCCGCCTCTCCCCTCTTCTGGCTTCCTTTCCCCTTTCTCCTTTCATCTTTTGCTTCCTTGACCTTGATCTGGTTAGAGAATTTAAATTAAAACAGCGGAAGTCAGTGATGTGCAATAAATTGATTTTCATTTATCACAGGAGCCTGCCATGAATGTGGGATACTGCTCCGTTAAGTCACTTCAGTAAAATCACCTTCCCCCTCACTGCCCTGACACCACTGCTCACAGGCCTACAATGCATTGTAGAACACATGCATATGTGTGCTATTTTCGGACAAGTCAAAAGGGGTGGGCTGAGGAGGGGGAACCGTATCACTTCTTTACCGTTAATGAGGTAGTGAAAACATCCAACTCTTTTGAGAAGGCAATTTAAACAATATGAAAATATTTTCCGCATGAAAAGAGGAGCACGCTGAAGTTCAGCCGGGCTGTGAAACGGTTTGATTCTCTTTGGTCATCTTCCAGTGGCGTCGGGCACTTCTACAGCTGCACGAAGCCGCAGTGACACAGGAGAGGAAAGGGCTGACACTGGCACCGTCACCATTTCAAAATGACATTCTGTTATGGCTTATTCCCGATTACCAGGCAGACCACGGCAGCGGTTGTTAGACCATAAGCTACAGGGTGCCACTGAAGAACCATAAACCAGACCTGAAAATACACGGGACCTCGGGAGTGCCTGGGGTGGGGAGATGAATTAAGCTCTAAGTGGGTCGGAGCTGGAAAAGCTGTTGCTCATCTTCCAGCCACAAACCATCAGGCGATTCTCCAAGCAGGGACTGGGGTTGGTATCCAAGAAACGGTGGCTTGCTTTTCCTTCCCAGCTGCTGGCAGCACAGCTCCTCCTCCCCACAATCCACACGCTTATGCCCTGGCCCACAATACATTACAATATTTCAAAGTTCGAGAGAAAGACGTTGACACTTCAAGACGCTTTCAAAACTTTTAAGAATATTCTCGGCGGGACACTTCAGCCTGCAGCTGAGCTGTACTTAACTCTGCACAGATACTCACAGGTCGAGAGAATGGTTTTTCCAGCACATGTTCCCCCACGCTTTGCCAGAGGGTGGATCCCCAGACAAGGTGAGCGTTCAAACCTGAGCACTTCAGCCAGGGCAAGGAGAATTCTCTCCACTGTCAGCTGAAAGCAGTGTGAGGGTACGTGCTGCTGTACCAAAGACTTTGTACAGTTCATTAGAAAATTGGTTGCTGTGGGGTTTTTTAATCCTACAACCACACTAATGCAAACCTGACCTTTAAGTAGTTCAAAGTAACTTAGCTCATTCTTACTGTTTCACGGCTACTGAAAAGCAAGTTTTAGCAACTCACATACACTGTTTTGGGACAATACGTCAAGTTTCTGTGCTTAGAAACAGTAAAGGTGAAAGTGTACCTTGTGTAAAAGGAAAAGAAACTGTGTAACAGAATTGAAAAACATTGCTTATGTGACCTGCCTGCCTCCACCTACCTGAAAGTTAGCTTCTTATTCACCTCCTGCCTAACCCTGTGGCTTAAATAACTGGGTTTGAAACATGGTACCTATAATAATCTGGTTTATTCATTTGCAAGAGTCAGTGAATCCGACTCAAAGTGCTGGTTGCGTGCAGTTTCTCACTTAGCTACATCATTTGACAACAGAAGCGAGTGATTTTTTAGCCCCACAAAACTACCACCTTTAACCTCTGTATCCTGACCTGTGGCAACTTACAAAACATGACGGAAACACTAACCAACATACTTTAGACACATTAAGTGCCGCGTTGGCCTTAGCACCCAAAACGCTTAGGAAATTCCCACCTTCGCCCTCACCAATCCCTCAGGTAGATTCACTTGACTGTGAGGCCATGGGGTAAATCAGCATCACTAGTCACCTTCTTATTGTCATTTCATTCAAACCCAGAGCACTCCCTGGGCACTGGCTCCAGCACCATCCCATGAACAACAGTAGCAGCCCAGGCAAAGACAAATCTTCTGTGTGACCAGGACCCTGTGTGACCAGGACCACGTTATATTTGCCAGCTTCTCACTGTGCTATATAGGCACCAGCACCCCTTGTTCCCTCAAACTGTCCAGCTGGTTAGTAAAATTAAGTTTATAATTGAATTAGAACAACTGCTCTTAGCGTGTACTTAACTTCAAGTTTGCCATTTCTATTTCAGACTCAAACACTTGCTTATCTAAACACGCATCTGTTTCCCCCAACACCAGCTGGCCTAATAAAAGGTATTATCTCCCGCTGCAAATCTGGCCTAGCTTCACTTGACAAAACTGCTGGCTGGAGCTGCCAAACCGTTCTCGCTTCAATCGAATCGAAAGCACTTTGTTTAAGATCGTATTTTAAGTCAGGTCAGTAAACCTGGTTTGAACTCAGCCCACCACTGCCAAGCCTGACGGTATTTATGAACAAGAGAAGGCAAACACCAGGTTTCTTTGGTCAAAATTACGTCCACGTGCAGTATTCACTTTGGTGTACTGGAATCTGTGGAATGCAAACCTGTAACCTTTAGCTGCAGTGGGTGACTGGACCAGGGAAATGAGTGATTCAGATGAGCATGCAGCGCTTCAGAACTCCAATTTCCTCTACGACAGCGTACTTCCAACTGCAGGCGCACAAAGGAGCCAGTGTGAAGTTAGCTGCTGCACAAACACCGTTACGTTAAACCCCGAAATAGATGCCGAGGAGCAGTCTGTAAAGGGAGGCTGAGGAGATAATATACCCTGCAAAAACCCAGAGAGCATGCAGGACGAGGGTCTCTCAGGTGAGGTACCAGACCTTTATT